CTATGAACTGGCTTCATCACTCTATTCTCCTCCCCACTGACAGTTGGTGTGTGGTGAATGTACTGGCGCACTCTGGCTGCTGTCGGATCATTCAGGTGTTGCTGGGAGTCCCCTATCAAACCTATAAAGCGCTTTGAGTGAAGGGTCCAGAAAAGCGCTATATGAGTGTAAGGAATTTTTATTCATCCATGCATTTACCTTGGAAGGTAAGAGACAACTTTAAAATAAGATGAGTGACTTTGTGATTTTTACTGGACACAAACATGAATTTTAAATGGTGCTTCTGAAAATGAATTACATACAGCAAATCAGTATAGCAAAACACTGTGCTGTAGGACGCGTCACCCTTTGGATGAGAGATTAAACCAAGATCCTGACTACTTGCCATTAAAGATCCCATGGCACTGTTGCTAAAGAACAGGGGTGTTAACCAGGCCAAATTGTACTCTGTGCTGGCACATTTGGCTTAAGCATAAGTCTCCCTTAATGCAACCAGTGAAGTAATGTCTCACTTCTCCACCCGATATTCTGTGAAGTGGTACTGCTGCACCTCAGCGGTGCTTGAACGATATCCCCTCCTAGGTGTAAAACGCCGTGGGATTCTCTTGGATGAGACACACTAAGTAGCTCCACTGAACTCTACATTACACATCTACTGCGGTTTAAAAACTGAAATTCTACCGCTGTACAGATGCATTAAAACATGGACCTCTTGCTCTGCAACATGTTAAAAGTTCAAATATACAGTAAGCTGAATAAAAAAAAGCAGTTAAAAAAATGAAAGTATTCCTCTGAGTAAATGCGTTTCAAAATTGTGTTATAAGTGGTTCAAATTATTTAAGCAGTCTGCTGAAATGCAGAAGTGAAACTTAACTGACAAATATTTAGCACAATGTTTGAAGTCGGAGTTTTGGGTCTTTTGCTGTCCTAAAACAAAATTTTGACACTCACACGTGCAGGAAGGCGAGTTGCAAGATCTGTACTGGATCACCGCTCATCACAAGTTGGCCAGAGGAATTTCACATCATTTTGGGATCGCTTGAGTTTTCTTCCTAGACAATTTCTATTGTCAACAGTACCAGTTTCCCGGACTTCCTTCAGGGTCTTGCGTATGGCACTGACTGAAAGTTGAGGTCCAGCTGAAGTCCGCCAACAGGAGAAGCTTTGCTTGCCAAGCCAAACGCTTTGATTTAGTTAACTGTGCGAGCGCTCACCACAAATTTCAGACTAATTCTATTACTGCCTATTTTGACATGAAGAAATTTATTGCGGTTTGGCACAATAAAAGTGGCTGTCAAGCAACCAGTCACATCATTCCAAGTCAACGACATAGCATTAGACACTATTTCACATTAAAAACAAACCAATACCGTGCATATGCTGCTTCTATAATTACCTCACAACAAAGTTGTGACACTTCACTGATCTGCTTAAATCACAAAAATGGCAAATGCAAATTAGTCTCAGGAAAAGTAGTGACAAAACAGCACAGAAAACGCCACAAAATCTTCTTCTTTCCTCACCTTTGGCTCATCTTCAGCTCACAAAAACAGAGCTCAAATAGCTTAATATTAGCCTACTGTTGCTTCAGATAATAACTTTGCGTGTTAAGTGTGCAGGGGAACCCCAGATATCCTGGATGTTTGGCTGTGAGCTACCAAACAACCAGGATATCTACACGGCTAGATGATTCTCAAGGA